TGGGAATGAATTTCCTCTGGATTTTTATTTCTCCTTCTAGGACAAGTGCCTCTAGTCTCTTCATAACATGCTGGAGTTAGAAGCCCAAGAGAGCAAAAGACATAGGTCAGGGACACAAACACTTAGAAGTTCTGTGTTGAGGGAGAAATGCCAGGAGCAGCTGTGAGGAGTATGCCACCCTGCTCCCTGGCAGCCCAGAGGGGCTCGGAGTGCAGGGGGTACCACAACTGTCTTTTCCTAATGAATAGAAAATGAATAAATCTGCATCTGTCATGATGTATCGTGAGCTATTTCGCAGCTCAAGAGAAAGATGAATTGTTTCTGTGAAAAAATAACACTCAACTCCGAGGTTTATCTTATTTGCCTTGAAATCTCCTGTCTGCCACAATATTATTTCAAGAGAAATAGCAACAGATGGAACACCTGTGCTGCAGCTTAAGAGGCAGAGTTGCCTACACAGTGAAAGAACCTGCTAAACTTGAATGTCAGGAAGAATTTCTTAAGATAAGAAACACCCAAAAATAAGTAGCTGAGAAAAGTAGGGTCTTTGCATCAGTGAGTGAGCATGGGGAGAGGTTTGGGTTAGACTGTGGGCTTTCGTGGGACCTGATTTCAGTCACCAGTCCTCAGGCAGAGTACTTGGCCTAAAGTGCCCTGTCTTCTTCTGCACAGAAGTCATGCTGGTTGCATCAACTGCTGGCAAAGGCATGTCCAGAAAGGTGGTCAGCGCTCACCATTTGTGAGCCGTTGTCGCGGATGTATGTACCCCTCCCTTCATTAAGCCGCTTCCCTGGTGGCTCCGTGGTAAAGAATCCACCTGCCAATACAGGAGACACAGGTTTGATCCCTGGGTCAGGAAGACCCCTTGGAGGGATCATCCCATGGACAGAGGAGCCTGGCGGGCTACAGTCCATAGGGTCACAAAGAGTTGGACACAACTGAGCGACTTAGCACTTCATCAAGCCCAGTTCAGGGTAGTCACATGTTTCTTCTCGCACCACTGGCGTTGATGGAGCAGTAAAAACAACCAAACTCCTTCAAAGTCTAAGACCTGTGTCGCAACCCCCCAGCTTCTCTGGTGCTTGATTCATGGTATAGACAGATGCTTGCTCTTCAACCTCAGGTTCCTCCTCAGTGAATAAGCTGAAGAGCTGTGGTCTGAATCAAGTGGGTGATTACTTGTGTGAAAGCAAATAGCATAAGGAATATCTAAGCTGTAAAGTAGCAGATACTTCCGGTATCTGTCCTGAGGACTGTTCACAGAGAGATAATGCTTGGAGGAGAGAGACCTCCCTGAAGTCATGGCTTTAGCTTGTTCATGAATGTTTGGGATGTGTACAGTTTGTAACAGTACCTGAAACTTCTGATGACTGAGACTTGTGGATATACACATCATAGCCCCCAAGGGCTTACTAACTACAAGGCTGGGACCCTGGGACCATATGCTTGTATTTTTCAGAGGCTGCCAGATATTGGCAGGCTAAGATTGGGAAATACTGAAGCAGACTCAAGAGCCAAATAACGTAACAAAGAGCACTGGAACTTCAATCCTGAGCAATGGATTTGGGCTCAAGTTCTGCCACTATCTTGGTAGGGAGATTTGAAAAATTGAAAAAAATAAAGAAAAAGCCATTGGAAGTTGCAAACGCCATTGCATTTCTATCAGCACTCTCTGATTGTTTAATGCCCAGACTACTGGTGAGATCAAGATTTCCAGGAGAAATCCTGGAAATCTGGAATCAAACTAGAATCAAGATGGCCAGGAGAAATATCAATAACCTCAGATTCGCAGATGACACTACCCTTTCGGCAGAAAGTGAAGAACTAAAGAGCCTCTTGATGAAAGTGAAAGAGGGGAGTGAAAAAGTTGGCTTAAAATTCAACATTCAGAAAACTAAGATTGTGGCATCCAGTTCCATCACTTCATGGCAAATAGATGGGGTCTGAACTGAACTGGTGAAAGTGGCTCAGTCATGTCCTACTCTTTGCAACCCCATGGACTATATAGTCCGTGGAATTCTTCAGGCCACAATACTGGAGTGGGTAGCCTTTCCCTTCTCCAGGGGATTTTCCTAACCCAGGGATTGAAACCAGGTCTCCTGAATTGTGGACAGATTCTTTACCAGCTGAGCCACAAGGGAAGCCCAGACTACTGGTGGTTCTATTCAATTCAGGAAACCTGGCAGTTGTATCATAGAGGAAACCTGAAATTCATGCGGGTGAAACTGGGAGGCTCTGAGTTGCTGTGCTGAAGTCCGTTTTGCAAAAAATCAGCTGATCAGTTTAACCTCAAAATGATGGATTCTGTTGATGTGGGTAACATTTTGCCTTTGTTGTGGTGCCTTAGATATGATAGGAGTTCAATGAAGATTGGTGAATAACTAAACAAACATAGTCACCAGCTGTCTCAACATCATATAAGTTGACTTTGATAATTATTCCCTATATAAAACGTGTTTACTTTCCTTTCTATCTATCTAAATGTGCCTTTTATGTAGCAAATACAAAGTTACTTACTTGCTTTTCTGATAAGCAGTGAAATCTCTGATGCAGAGGCAGTGAGACTGAGGGCCCTGGTGGTATTTAAACAGAAGTAGGTGATGATGGATGGTGAGGGTCAGCCTCAATGACCTTTAAGTTCTCTTTCAACCCATAACTTCTGGAGTATGAGAGTGCTTACAGTGCTTTCGGGTCTTCCATTCTGTTCTTGATACCTGAACAAAAGAAAGAGGGCAGATCAAATGCTGTGGGTCCCAAGGTTGTTGATTTTCCTTTGGGATCAAGAGTCCCATAGCTACTGTTTCCAAAGATTCTAGAAGTTTTTCTGCATTTGGGAAAGACTAATATATTTGTTTACCAATTCAAACTCTGGGCTTTATGATGAAAAGGACGAGACAGTTAAGATTAAAATGAAAAGCTGGGTCTTCCCAAAGTGTTGGAAGAAGTTGAGACTTCTAGAACTCTATAGTCTGCTTAAGCACAGAGCTTGCAAATGCATCCCCCTGGCTCCAAGCCAAGTATTTAACAAATCTTGTTCTGAGATGAAGATGGTATGAGAGGAGGTAAATGATGGTGTGATTTTATAGGGCTGGCCGCAGCTCAAACATGCACACTGGTGGCCCATGATGACTCAAAGAGCAGGTGTTATGTGGAATCCAAACCATGTCTTTTTCTAAATTGAGTTACCAACAGTTAAAAATCAGAAACTTTTACTTATATAAAAAACATATGTCTGCTTCTCCTGAAAATCCAGAAAAATCTGTCTTCACTGGGCCCACATCCCCTCCGCAATAAAAGAAGGTCTGAGAAGTGACTGCCCCTTCTGATAGAATATACTCCCAGACTGCTCCCACTTGAGCCCTTCTCTCATTTCTAATATTATCTGTGGGGCATCTGGAGGCATTTATTTTGATTCCCTACTGAAGACAAAGCTGTGGTTTAGGAATGGTGTGTCCCGGTACCTAACATGGTGAGCATCTTTGCCACTTGACGGAACCTTGAGCACAGGGAATGCAAGTCTTTTTAAGAGCTGGTACACCCTGGGAGATTTCTCCGGTGGTCCGGTGGTTAAGGCCTTGCCTTCCAATGCAGGGGGCACGGGTTTGATCCCTGGTCAGGAAAATAAGATCCCCTATGTCTCAGGGCCAAACAAAAACAAAAACAAAAAAAACCCCCACCAAAGTAAAATATAAAGAGTCAATGTTGTAACAAATTCAGTAAAGACTTTAAAAATGGCCCACATTATAAAATCTAAAAAAAAAAAAATTATTTTTTTTTCCAAAAGGGAGTTGTCATATCCTGACACAGTTTCTGCCACACAGTAGAACTGAAGAAATCCACTTCATTCCTCTCTCCACTCCACACTTCCTCACCTCTTAGGTTTTATTCTTGCCTATTCCCCAAGTCTAAACAATTTTTTTTTCAGTGAAAAAGGCTGCTGTTAATAATTATTCTTAGATAACATGTATGAGTTGGACGCTTTGTGGGTATATTAGTTTCCAAGGACAGTCATAACAACAGCCCCAAATTGGATGACTTAAAACAGAATTATTATCTCACAGTTCTGGAGGCAGAAGTTGGAAATTCAGGTGTCATCAGGATTGGCACCCTCTGGAGGTTCTAGGGGAGAATCCGTTTTGTGTCTTTCTCTTAGCTTCTGGAGGATGCCGCAGTCCTTGATTACCTTGGCTTGTAGCTACGTCACTCCACTCTCTGTCTCTGCCATCACATGGCATTCTTCCTGTGTGTCTGTTTTTTCTCCTTATGAGGACACTAGTCGCATTGGACTAAGGCCTTAACACTAACAACCTCAGGATTTCACTGATGGCTTAGCAGTTAATCCGTCTGCAATGCAGAAGACACAAGAGATGTTTGTTTGATCCTTGGGTCGGGAAGAACCCTGGTGGGGAGTATGGCAACCCACTCCAGTATTCTTGCCTGGAGAATCCCATGGACAGAGGAGCCTGGCGGGCTACAGTCCATAGATTCGCGGAGAGTCAGACATGACAGAAGAGACAGCCCAAAACACAGCAACCTCATCCTGATTTGACTGCATCTACAAAGACTGTATTAACAAATAAGGTACGATCACCTATGTAGAAGGTTAAAACCTCAACATATCTTCTTGGGGGGCTCAACTAAGCCTATAAGCTTCAAACAAACTTTCTCACCTGAAAAAAATAGAGCCAATAATTCTATCTGTTAGATGAGGTTCTCATGAGGCTACACGACCAGCATGCCCAGGCTCTCATTCAGCACCTGCAGCATAGCTTGACCTCAATAAAAGCATGGTCCATGTCTTTTCTTCCAGTCCATGTGTTTTCTCTCCTCTTTTTCTCTTGCTTGGGCACCTGGATGCTTGGCTTCTTTGTCATTTTGTTTGCACAGGAGAGAAACATGAAACAAACAAAATCCATCCATGACTTGATTTCATCCTTCCTGCCATTAATTTAGTAGGTGATATCAAAGTGTATTCCTTCAAAATAGTTTACCTTTTATAGTATTTCCAGAAAGGATTTAGTACCCAGTGGCAAATAGAAGACTGCTCTACGTTCACCAGTACAGCACCCCCTGGGCCTCCTGCTGCCAGTATAGCTTCTTTCAAAGAAGAAAGCCATGGAGAGGTGAGCCCCTCCCCAACACCATCCAGTGAGTGGGAAGAGACCCCACTCATCTTTACTGTCAGGCAAAACATGAACATGGGAGCCAGAGGCACACCCAAACGGACCTGGGGTAGTTTATTTCTAGAACAGTGAATGACAAAAACGTGTGTTCAGGCCCACTCGGTAAACCCTTTGCAGCTGGAGGCTGTAGGGACACACCCAGGGGCCAATGAGACTTCAGAACCTGCCCTCTTGCAGGTCCAAGGGAGGTTCTGTCCCATCTGTTGAGTATTAGTTTGTGGTTTCTGTTTTTTTTTTTTTTTACCTCTTTTCATTTGGCCATATTTTGCTTTTAACCTCAATAGAAACAAGCAAAATTATTTGACTCAATGGAAGATCCTGTTCTAGAACATTCTACAAAAACTGTAGTTGCCAAATTTTCATGGAAATCCACTTGTTGCCATATATTATATTGGTGGAGAGAACAGGTGTGAGCTGATGACACATGTTTGATGATTCAGTTATTGTACCTGATAATGGTGATGAGGGCAGTTATCATCATCAGCAACCTAGCCTCCATTTATGAAGCTCTCACCACATGCCAGATACTGTGCTGAGCATTTCAAATTATTTTATGAAATCCTCATATAACTCTCTTCGGCAGTTAATGTTATTATCCCCACTTTACAGATAAGGAGGTGGTGCTAGTGGTAAAGAAACTGCTTGCAAATGCAGGAGTCATAAGAGACGCGGGTTTGATCCCTGGATCTGGAAGATCCCCTGGAGAAGGGCATGGCAACCCACTTCAGTATTCTTATCTGGAGAATCCCATGGACACAGGAGCCTGGCAGGAGTCCACAGGGTCACAAAAAGTCAGACATGACTGAAGTGACTTTAGCATGCATGTACACATAGATAAGGAAAGTGTAAATTCATAGCACAAGTTAATGTGTATAAAAATTAAGTATAAAACTGCATAATAGGATGAATGAAGATGGACCAGAAAGAATAACTTTGAAATCATGGAAACCTGAGCTCAGAACCAGAAAGACTTGAGCTCAAATTTCTGCTTTCTCCTGTTTCAGTTCTTTAGCCATGATCAAGTCCCATAAATGTTCTTTGAGCCTGGTATTTTCTGTAAACTGACAATCACTGCCCTGATGAAATGTTGTTGATATAAAATTCCCTGAACACAGCAGGGCTGACTAAATGGTGGTTGTGAGGATACTGGTGATGTTCTGACTGCAGGAGAGGAAATGTAAGGAAACAACGTGTACCTCCAAATATTCAAGTGTCACGTAGAATAAGGATTCAGTTCAGTTGCTCAGTCGTGTCTGACTGTTTGATACCCCATGAACCGCAGCACGCCAGGCCTCCCTGTCCATCACCAACTCCTGGAGTCCACCCAAACCCATGTCCATCAAGTTGGTGATGCCATTCAACCATTTCATCCTCTGTTGTCCCCTTCTCCTCCTGCCCTCAATATATCCCAGCATCAGGGTCTTTTCAAATGAGTCAGCTCTTCGCATCAGGTGGCCAAAGTACTGGAGTTTCAGCTTCAACATCAGTCCTTCCAATGAACACCCAGGACTGATCTCCTTTAGGATGGACTGGCTGGATCTCCTTGCAGTCCAAGGGACTCTCAAGAGTCTTCTCCAACACCACAGTTCAAAAGCATCAGTTCATCGGTGCTCAGCTTTCTTTAT